ATTATTGACTGTGATCCTTCTGAGACCCAGAAGAACCATTTTCTCTCTGATCCAGAACTTTGGTTCTACTGGTTCAATAAATTAAGGTTTCCTGCTTATTCATGCTCAGTGTAGAAATATCTCATCTAGAGACGCGTTCTTCTGGGTCTCAGGGAGGTTCTGGTTTGTAAATGAAGCTGCTTCATGGGAGTTTGGATTTATTGAGAAATGGTCCCTCAGATGAAAACAGCTGTACTGTAGTCCTGGTTCTGATTTGGATCCATCAGATGCCCCTCTGTCCCTGCACATCCTGTATCATCACCTTCATCATGTTAATAAAGTCTGTGATTGTATCCGACTGGTTCCCGGTTCTTTCCAGCCTCCACAAAAACCCAGAGATGCTTTAGAAGATGCACATTTCTGGGAGAGACACCAGAACCCATCAGAACCGGACCTCAGACTCACCTGATCCGAACATTCTGACTCAACCTGATCTGACACCGGAATCACAGATGACAGCACAGTGGAAGTGATTTTGGGCCACAGCGCCCCCTGCTGACCTCATCCAGTCCAGAAGTGTTTCTAAAATATTCACAAAATATTGTCTTGATTTTACTGGTTCATATTGAAAATATCTCTGACATATCTTAAGAAGTTCTTATTTATTATTCTTACAATTTGCGCTCTGATTTTTATTTTCCTAAATATATATTTTTTTATTTAGCTCCCATAACAGTTATAGAAGAAACCACTGAATGGCAGCAGGGTATCAGGACATACAGTAGGACACAAATCTGTGAAAAGATAAAATAATACATTGAAAACTAATTTTAACAGCATACTTTGTTTCAATTAAGTTTTGTTTTTCCAGGTCTTTTTATGTAATTTGTTTAAGTTCTTTTTCCTCTGAATAAAAATCAGTTCTCCAAACAAAGGAAACTTTAACATTTCCTACCAGCTGATTGGCTGCTGGGTGGAGCGTTTCCTAGGAGATCAAGCCTGAAAGCTCCCCTGCTCCGTTCAGAGTACGTTACCATAGTGACTAGTGTGAAAAAATATTAGGTTCTGAATCACATCACTGCTGCCTTGCAGCAAGAAGGTTCTGGGTTAGATTCCCTGCCCGGGGTCTTTCTGCATGTAGTTTGCATGTTCTCCCTGAGCATGCGTGGGTTCTCTCCGGGTACTCCGGCTTCCTTCCACAGTCCAAAAACATGACTCTTACTGTTAGGTTAGTTGGTTTCTCTAAATCCTTCTTAGGTGTGAGTGTGTGCCTAAATGTTATTTTTTTCCCCCTGTTTTTCTGTGTGCAATCAACTCCTCAATAAGGAAAGGAGCTATTGGCTGTGCTACAAGTCGCTGAATAACATCATTGCCTCATTTGCATAATCTGCCCAAAGGCGTAGGTTTGATTTCAGCTTTGGTATGGACATTATTGGTCTTCAGTTTCATTGGTCTGATGTCATTGGTCCTTTGCAGAAATATGCTTAAAGTGAGCAACAGGGCACATTCTGTTTAAAGAGAACAGCAGCATTTCTTCCTACATTAATACAGATGCTGTTTATCAATGTTTAAAGCGTCACTGGCTCTGATCAATGTGGAATTAGGACTTTTTTCCACTTTGAAAAGGTTTGCATTTCAACTTACCAGTTCCTATTTAACCAAATATAGTCTACAGTAAATATGTCTGTTATATGTGGATTTATCCTGTTTTCTTTTGAAGATATAAAATTGTGCAGAGGTATCCAGAGGTACATGTGCACTGGAACTATAACAGGCACTGACATTGAGCATTTAAAATATTAACTTCACTATACAAATTGTAAATCTGGGCTGTAGTTACTCTGTGTCGCCCATTTCATGTATTTTATCTATGGATGAAACAATCATATTAATCGATTCTTTAAATAATCATTAACTAATTTAGTAATTGATTAATCATTACCTGGACAATAGGGCCACTAAAATGTGCCTTTAGCCGACAGAGCGACCCACTTAGAGCAGGAATTATACTTAGATTGTAAAAATACGTAAATATTTTGCATTTAAGTTAAAAAAAAAGTTTTTGTCTTTTAATATTCTCCATCCAGATCTCCTGAAGAGGAAACGTTTCTATTTCACCTGGTTTCATTTAGAAAAAACTCTTCTTTAAAGGAATAGTACACCCAAAACATGATTAGCCTTCATTTTCTACTCCCCCCCATGCTGAACAACACTCTGGAGTACTTTTTTGATATCTCAAATGCATCTGGAGATCTGGGAGGCTTCTTGCTGTCTGCTGACATTCAAATAATGGAGGTCTATGGTGCCCAAGACAGAAAGGTCCATAAAAGTCCACAAAAAACGTGTCAATATTCCTCCATACTGCTCGTCCAATGTATTCCAAGTGTCCTGAGTGGGTAGCATCCAGAATTTACTCGAAACGAAGTCATTTAGAATGTTTTTAGAGCATAAACAGTAAGGTATAGGATTTCCTGAAAGCGCGCGCCTGCGCGTTCACGACGCTACGGAAGCCAGCAGACCAAACCAGATGAAAGTGCGCATTCAGCGTCTGCTCTGCCAATAATGCAAGCGTAGAAGAAGAAATGTGCTGTTTACCTGTGCAAAGAAAGAAACAACGAAAGAAAAATGTCTGAGGACTTCAGTGTTGAGGAAGAGCATGAGTTCTTTGCCGAGCTGAATGCGCTGGTTTGGTCTGCCGCGGTTTCCGTAGACTCGTGAACGCGCTTTCAGGAAATGTTTCATTGGGGGGGGCCAGATGAGGCCACTAAAAATCTTGGGGTGGCCACTGAAACTAAAAGCCAGAATTTCAGGGTTTGAATCTACTATTGTGGTAAAGCTTCCTGTAGAAATATACAGACATCAGTAAACACCTCCTCATGTCTTGGTTTATTGTGTGATTTTTAATGTTACATCACTGGCTGTGCATAATGGGATGAAATGCTGGATCAAAACATTTCACCAATAAATGCCGTGTATTTAATCATTTAATCTAACTGTAACCAGACCTTAAAATTAAAGTTTTCTTTTAAAATTAAGCAATTCAGAAAAATATTTGTGTAAATATTAAGGATTTTAAATGATTAAAAAGTTTAAAAAGAAAAAAACCCAACAACTAATAAACATGTTTAGCTTGAAAGGCTGTTAAAAAAATCTACAATGATTTTGGTGAAAAAAAGAACGATTTCTCCTCTAAAGAACTGCTGAACTACATTTCCCATGCTTCTCTCTGAGGAATCGGCCAATCAGAAAGCCCAAAAGCTTTAGATGACCGGGCCTTCCTGTCAGTGAAACTTCTGAAAAGCTGCATTTTCACATGCAGGATTCTGAACTCATAACCATCCATAGGAGCGGAGTCAGCAGATGGTTCAGAGACGTGTTTCAACAGTCAGGTTTTCCCAGTGATCTCCATGGATCTGGAGTCACACCCATCCCAGGATTGGAAGTCTTGCATTGATTGGTCCTGACACCAATATCACAGGAAAAAAGGGTCCCAATGAGCTAAAGTGGGTTAATAATGGTTTAACTTATTCTTCTCAAGAACTCTTGCAGGCTTTATTATTTCCATTTTTTTAAATATACGGTTATACTGTTTAAATTTAAATGTTATTTTGTATTGAAGTTGTAGTTTTTGTTTAAAGAAATCGTTTTTACAGCAATTTAAATCACTGTTGTCTGTCATTATTGAGGTCAAACCAAGGGCTCAGCATCTTCTGTTAATGTTCCTGTTATAAATCACTTATTACCCCTCTCTCTGTTAGCATATCACGACAGGATTACATAACTCCTGTTAATTTGGCATTTCTTCTGCATGATCATGTTTTTTTGGACATTGAGAAGCAGTGTCCACATTTCATCTTGACACGATGACCAGAGAAGAGCTTTGGTGATTAAGCAGCTGAAAGACTAAGTAAAGAATCAATTAACTAAAGGTTATTGGTTGCTGATTATTTGGCCAAATAATGTTTTATTCACCTCATGGATTTGCTTTGTGAATTGGTCTGAAAACATTCCTACAAACTTTGGTTTCAAACACAGGATCCATCTTAAACTGTAGTAGGAGCCTAAATGCAGTTTATTTGAGTTAGAATATTTATTTTTTAAAATATGCAAATTCATAAGATAAATATTATGATTTAATGATTCAAAGGGATTTAAAAGGAATTAAAAAATGTTATTTTCATATGTTCAGATAATTGATATTGTGAGTAAGATATGACTTTAATTGTGACATTTAAAAACCCACGAAGGGGAGGGGCTTATCTTCATGCCAGGTGAGGAAGGCAGTGGGAATCAGGTGGAGATTGGAGCGCGATCGTTTTTTGACCTCACTCTTCCCAGGCTCCGTTGGACTTTAAAAGGACTTCATTTCATGGATGTTTTTGATGTTTTCTGTAATGTTGTGTTAAGTTTTGGACTCGTGGATTTATTTTGGATACAAGGGAGTCTGATGAGCGTCAAGCTAAAGCTTTAATAAGGACAGCAAGAACCTACAACCATGTTCCCCCTTCTACGGAAGAGGATTAGGGCCACTGAAAAAAAAAAAAAAAGTAAACTGATTTTTTTATTTTATTTCAGTTTAACATGGGGAAAAAGTCAGAATTCTGAGATTAAAGTCAGAATTCTGACTGAATTCTGATAATAAAAAAAGTCAGAATTCTGAGATTAAAGTCAGAATTCTGAGAAAAAAGTCAGAATTCTGAGAAAAAAGTCAGAATTCTGAGAAAAAAGTCAGAATTCTGAGATTAAAGTCAGAATTCTGAGATTAAGGTCAGAATTCTGAGATTAAGGTCAGAATTCTGAGATTAAAGTCAGAATTCTGAGATTAAAGTCAGAATTCTGAGATTAAAGTCAGAATTCTGAGATTAAAGTCAGAATTCTGAGATTAAGGTCAGAATTCTGAGATTAAAGGTCAGAATTCTGAGAAAAAAGTCAGAATTCTGAGAAAAAAGTCAGAATTCTGAGAATAAAGTCAGAATTCTGAGATTAAGGTCAGAATTCTGAGATTAAGGTCAGAATTCTGAGATTAAAGTCAGAATTCTGAGATTAAAGTCAGAATTCTGAGATTAAAGTCAGAATTCTGAGATTAAAGTCAGAATTCTGAGATTAAGGTCAGAATTCTGAGATTAAAGTCAGAATTCTGAGAAAAAAGTCAGAATTCTGAGATTAAAGTCAGAATTCTGAGATTAAGGTCAGAATTCTGAGATTAAAGTCAGAATTCTGAGATTAAGGTCAGAATTCTGAGATTAAAGTCAGAATTCTGAGATTAAAGTCAGAATTCTGAGATTAAAGTCAGAATTCTGAGATTAAGGTCAGAATTCTGAGATTAAGGTCAGAATTCTGAGATTAAAGTCAGAATTCTGAGATTAAGGTCAGAATTCTGAGAAAAAAGTCAGAATTCTGACATTAAAGTCAGAATTCTGACTTTTTCCCCATACTATACTGAAATAAAATAAAAAAAAATCAGTTAACTTTTTTTTTTTTTTTCAGTGGCCCTAATCCTCTTCCGTACCCTTCCTCTTTGTACATAGTAGTTTAGTTTAGTTTCATTAGTCTTAGTTGAGAGTTTTAAACTGAAATATGTTTGACTTGGAGCTGAATGATTTTTGTCAATAAACTTTTATATTTTGAACAGAAGTTATGGTGAATTTATTCCATGTTTGTGCAGAAATAACTGTTTGACCATGATTAGTGCTGGAATCACTCTTTCATTTATTGTTCTAACACACAGCTAGTAGGGCGTGTGTTCATAAACAGTATATAACAGCTGAAATAATATCTGATTAAATAAGATATTCCCCCCCCCCCCCCCCCCCCCACAGGGGAGGGCAATAAACATCTTGAAGTATCAGAAATATAAATTCCCAGCAGGCTGGGAATTGAATATAAAAGCTATCCAACATTAATATGGCATCCAACCCTCTCACTGTCAACTAAAGGAATCCTGGGAGATGATGCAGGAGCAGAACCTCCTTAACACCAACCTCATGGTACCAGAAAGGGTTAAACCAGCAGGGTCCGGTTCTGAGAGCGTTCTGCATAAACAGGAAACCCAGTGCTGGGGGGTCGGAACATCTAATTAGACGATGGAATTCTCTCTGACCTGCTCCGGTTCCGGGTTCTGATCCGATTACTTCCTTTACTGAGCCTTCAGATATATTAGAGGTCAGAAGGATTTCTGTGTTTAAAGGTGAATCCGTTCCTCTCTGCATGTCTGCCTGCTTCTGTGGAAACTAACCCAACTAAAGCCAAAGGTCAGGAACCAGATGGACCCGGAACCAGTTCTAGACCCTCCTAAATGCTCTGGAATGAGCATTTCTACCTTCCAGACTTTCCATTAACCAGCCCTTAAAGGAATAGTACACCCAAAACATGATTAGCCTTCATTTTCTACTCACCCCCATGCTGAACAACACTCTGGAGTACTTTTTTGATATCTCAAATGCATCTGGAGATCTGGGAGGCTTCTTGCTGTCTGCTGACATTCAAATAATGGAGGTCTATGGTGACCGAGACAGAAAGGTCCATAAAAGTCCACAAAAAAACGTGTCAATATTCCTCCATACTGCTCGTCCAATGTATTCCAAGTGTCCTGAGGGGTAGCATCCAGAATTTACTCGAAACGAAGTCATTTAGAATGTTTTTAGAGCATAAACAGTAGTGTATAGGATTTCCTGAAAGCGCGCACATGCGCGTTCACGACGCTACGGAAGCCGGCAGACCAAACCAGCGCATTCAGCTCGGCAAAGAACTCATGCTCTTCCTCAACACTGAAGTCCTCAGACATTTTTCTTTCGTTGTTTCTTTCTTTGCACAGGTAAACAGCACATTTCTTCTTCTACGCTTGCATTATTGGCAGAGCAGACACTGAATGCACACTTTCATCTGGTTTGGTCTGCCGGCTTCCGTAGCGTCGTGAACGCGCTTTCAGGAAATCCTATACACTACTGTTTATGCTGTAAAAACATTCTAAATGACTTTGTTTCGAGTAAATTCTGGACGCTACCCACTCAGGACACTTGGAATACATTGGACGAGCAGTATGGAGGAATATTGACACGTTTTTTGTGGACTTTTATGGACCTTTCTGCCTCGGGCGCCATAGACCTCCATTATTTGAATGTCAGCAGACAGCAAGAAGCCTCCCAGATCTCCAGATGCATTTGAGATATCAAAAAAGTACTCCAGAGTGTTGTTCAGCATGGGGGTGAGTAGAAAATGAAGGCTAATCATGTTTTGGGTGTACTATTCCTTTAAAGCAGCCTGATTCTCAGCAGTAAGCCTCCAGAACCTCTGAAGGACCAGTTCTATATGTGGGGTTAAAAACAAACGGAGTCGACAGCAGGTCAGTGTTCCCAATCATACTTTCATTATTGATCCAGACGGTACATTCTGGGTTACTGGATCAGAACCAGAGGACAGAATCATTTCACTGGGTTACAAAGTTCTGGAGGACATCGTCTCAGGAGGATCTTCATCCATCCTGCTCATCTAAAGCACAGAAACGGCTGTGGAGTTCAGATAAGCAGCTAAAGGGCTTCTGACCCGCCGAGGTCCTGTCTCCTCTCTGAGGCGCCGCTCCTCACCGCCTGCCTGCCGCACCCACGGCGCTGCTCCGGTTCATGTTGCGGCTCAGTTGAGGGAAATGGACCGTGGGAGTTCTGGATGTGGGTCCATAAAGGCCCAGGTTCCTGGCTGCCACAGACTTTCTAGGCTGCTTTATTGAAGGAAAAGGGGAGAAGATGTGCTGCGAAGAAACGGGAGGAGGGGGTGATGAAGATGATGGGAGGCGGGATGCAGAGCCTGGTGCAGGAATGAAGGTCAACGAGGAAGAAGGGGAAGGTGGAACATGAGCGGTCGGAGCAGGTGGAGAAGAGGATGAGGAGGATGAAGGTTGTGCAGGAGGAAGGCTGTGGGGGGAGCTTGGAGGACGAGGAGGTGAAGCTGGAGCACAGTGGGCTTCAGAACCAGAGTCCAAATGTCCGTTTGAGGAGGGAGGAGGAGAAGGAGGGGTCAGGGCTGCAGGTTTGCTCTCGTTACTTTCTGGTTCCTGTTCTGGGTCGGTCCCGGTACCCATTTCGAGGTCCAGGGAATCCAGCTGCACCACCACCTCCTCCACCTTTACCTCCTCTGTCTCCTCTGCAGGCTGAGGAGCCGCTTCACATCCTGCAGGAGGTGGAGCCTCCTCCTCATCCTCCCTGCTCCGGACCAAACCCCCTTCCTCCTCCTCCTCCCTTTCCTCAGAATCTCCAAACCCGAGCTGAGCCCGGGCCCGGGCCATGTTTTTCCGATGCTGCCGGACGTGGGCCCGCCAAGGAGAACCTCTGGAGCTCCCTGGAGATCTGCTGCTGCGGGAGAGCAGCGACGAACAGCAGCGCCTGGACGGAGAGCCCGTTAGGGGCGGAGTACCGGCAGAGACGGGCCTGCAAGTTCTGGAAGGACCGGCCTGTTTCCGGTCCAGCAGCAGATGGTTGATGACGGAGCTGGACTGGTTGAGCTGGGAGGCCAGAACACGTGTGGCGGGACACTTGCCTGATGGAGGAGAAAACAGAGACAGAACCGGGTCAAAACGGGCCGAGTGCCGCGATTATCCGAGCTCTAGAACGTGAAAGAACCAAGAACAGCCTGGTTGAAACCTGAAAACAGAACATGCCTGATATGTGGAGAGATGTTAGGAAGCATGAGATCAGATCAGGGGAGGAGAAGCAGGATGAGCAGTAAAGCAGGTCAACATGCAGAACCCAGACCTTTCAGCACCCAGCAGAACCTGAACACAATCCGTTTTAGGAGGTCTTTCATTTCCAGTAGTGACTCCTGTGTTCCAGAAACTAGAACCTCATTGGAAACGTTGTTCTTCTGTGTTCACACTGAACGACGCAACTACAACCTGTGAGATACGTTTAATGTAGCGCAGGGGCGGGTTTAGGAAATTAGGGGCCCTAGGCAGAGACAGGCAGGGGGCCCTATGACTTGAGAAGACAACATGTAAAACAGACCCATGATCCAGATAGAGAAATGCTAAAGGAATAGTACACCGAAAACATGATTAGCCTTCATTTTCTACTCCCCCCCATGCTGAACAACACTCTGGAGTACTTTTTTGATATCTCAAATGCATCTGGAGATCTGGGAGGCTTCTTGCTGTCTGCTGACATTCAAATAATGGAGGTCTATGGCGCCCGAGACAGAAAGGTCCATAAAAGTCCACAAAAAAACGTGTCAATATTCCTCCATACTGCTCGTCCAATGTATTCCAAGTGTCCTGAGTGGGTAGCATCCAGAATTTACTCGAAACAAAGTCATTTAGAATGTTTTTAGAGCATAAACAGTAGTGTATAGGATTTCCTAAAAGCGCGTTCACGGCGCTACGGAAGCCGGCAGACCAAACCAGATGAAAGTGCGCATTCAGCTCGGCAAAGAACTCATGCTCTTCCTCAACACTGAAGTCCTCAGACATTTTTCTTTCGTTGTTTCTTTCTTTGCACAGGTAAACAGCACATTTCTTCTTCTACGCTTGCATTATTGGCAGAGCAGACGCTGAATGCGCACTTTCATCTGGTTTGGTCTGCCGCGGTTTCCGTAGCGTCGTGAACGCGCTATTAGGAAATCCTATACAGTACTGTTTATGCTCTAAAAACATTCTAAATGACTTCGTTTCGAGTAAATTCTGGATGCTACCCACTCAGGACACTTGGAATACATTGGACGAGCAGTATGGAGGAATATTGACACGTTTTTTGTGGACTTTTATGGACCTTTCTGCCTCGGGCGCCATAGACCTCCATTATTTGAATGTCAGCAGACAGCAAGAAGCCTCCCAGATCTCCAGATGCATTTGAGATATCAAAAAAGTACTCCAGAGTGTTGTTCAGCATGGGGGTGAGTAGAAAATGAAGGCTAATCATGTTTTGGGTGTACTATTCCTTTAATAGAATAGACACTCTAGGTTCTAGGTTGTGTCCCTCTCTTCTTGTCCCTTTTCTTCTTGTTTTCCTCTCTATGTTTTGTACTCAGCTGACATTTCATGCTGTCTCTAAAGGAATGAAAGATTTTTTGAAGGAAATAATGAAATACTAGAATGAAATAATAGCTGCATGAATCAGATAGAGCAGGAGGCGGGGTTACCAATTTACTTGCTCTGGAGAGCAGAGGTCACAGATTAGCGGACCGCGGTCCAGATAATGATCCATCTGCTGGCTAATCTGGCCCAACCTGATTTAAAACAATTCTAAATGACCCCACGTTGTCTGATGACAGTGTCTAAACGTCACTTGCGCCGCTTCTCCTGTTACCGCAGCGCTCCAGACCTCCTGCTCAAAGCAAAGCCTACAGCCTCCACTGTTCCTGTCTTGCTCCGATCCGACTTCCTTGGATATTATTAAATTCATAGGAGCAAAACATGCAGAAATTAACGCTTAATTTAATATGACATATTTAAAAAATCCCTATCAGCATCCAGCAGATGTTCAGTTTCTGATGGAGATGAGAAATCTGCTTCCTGGTCTGTTGAAGGACCAATAGTTTGCATCCACTAAAATATAGAAGAATTATGCTCTAATTTGTAGTTACCGATCTGTTGTTACTATATTTTAATTTGACAAACCGGATCTTCACGCCGTTCTTTTTCCTGTTTGGTGAGATTGCAATAGTGGATCTTGACCTGGCCGTCCGGAGCGGACTCAGGACATTTAGAGGAAGTTTGGCTCAACCTGCTGCTGTGAAGCAGGATTCTCCACCATGAACAGAATCAGAAATAAATCTGGATCCAGGCTCAAAATGAGCTCCTTGATATGTGCTTTAGAATGGCTTAGTCTCCGGTTAAACCCAGGTTTAAAGCCTTGCAGGGCAGCATAAAGCCCACTGCCAACATTAAGACAGAAAAAAGAAAGAAAATAATAATAATAAACGGTCAGTTCAGGTTATTTAAGAAAATATGTGAAGCAGGAAAATGTCTATATAACAAACTGAAAGATTGTTGTTCTCTACTTCAAAAAACACTTAAGATTTTTAAATGGAAAAATGTTCTTTTTTTTATATATATATATTTTTTTTTTTTATTTAAAAATTTAATGTATAACATGAAAGCATAAACACCTCATTTTATTTTCATTGTTAAATTCTGTTTATAGTAACAGCTAATTAAAAATGTCCCCGGACCTTTACTGGTTGAATTTTTTATTTTTTTATTCACCCCGCAGATTTTTAAATGGTTACCACTGGTTTAGATGTTGTCGCCAAAGTCTCCAGTAGCAGAAAAAAAAATCACTAGATTTGGTGCTAACAGAGCTTCTGCATTATTAGTAATTGGTGTAACAACAGCCCAGAGAGTTTGTGGAGTTTAGATTTCTGGCATTACCATGGAGACTAAAGCTGGTTTGGTACCTTTAACAGCATGAGCCGGTACCAAATCCAGCTGGAAAAATCAAGTCAGTAAAGCTTTTCTAAATTGTCCTGCTGGATGACTGCTCTGACTTTGGACCTGACATCTGGTCTGTTCCTGTTTGGCTGTGACTCCATCCTGGAGAGAAATATCAGCTGTGCTGCTGCCATCAACACCTTTGTTAATAGATGTTGGAGATCTGCCTATTTTCCAGTGTAGTCCTGTTTCTCTGATTGTGACTAACTAGATGTGCTCTCTTCATCCTCTGATATGGGAGCTGACTCCTCGTCTGCTTGAATGTTTGTTTCCTTTATTGTCATTACAATGTCACAAGCGTAATGTCCTTACCGCCAGGCCACACTACCCACAAGAGGGGAGTGGCAGCCTAGTGGTTAGGGAATAGAACGTGGTATCCTGAGGTTCTAAGCCCCACTCCCACAGCCTGCCACTCTTGCTCTCTGAGCAAACCCTTAACCCCTGGTTGCTCGCCGGGCGCCCCACGGTGGCAGCCCACTGCTCTCCGAGGGGATGGGTGAAACGCAGAGATAAATCTCTCCAATGAGAGATGAATGTTTGTCATTATTCTACAGAGAACAGAGCCAGTGTCTTCAGATAGTCTAGCCCGCCACCGTTTAGTCCCTCAGAAGTTCTGCATATTTAAACTCCACTACCATCACTGTTGGGCTCAGCACTGCCGATGCGTTTGAGGGAACCGTCCTGAAGAACCTCTGGGTCTGTGGCCACCTCAGGTCCAGGTCCTGCGAGTCACACAGCATGATCAAACCTTCAGGACCTCCAGGGTCCAACTTGTTGCCTCTTTGATCCACAGAATGCTGTTTCCATGAATGAATCCTAAACTAGGATCTTGGGGGCAGAGAACCGGGATGGTGCGCCCTCACCTGTGCGGATGTAGAATTGCATAGCCTGTTGCTGCTGCCGCCTCTTAATCCGAGTGTACTGCTTCTTCAGTGCAGTGATGTCCGTGCTCATCCTCTCCATCATCATGCTGTTGATGGCCGCTTGATGCTCCGCTTTAGCACTTCCTCCCACTGCTCCTGGGCTCACCTCAGCAAAGCTCTCCTGTTCGACTCGCTGGTCTGGATAGAAACACGTGACACAAAGATGGTTGAAGGAATTGATTTAAAAGCCTGCTATAAATTTCAGATCCTCATGAAATGAAACGTTGAATCAGAGTTTTTGTATCATCGTCTAAAAACTCTTTAAAGTTTAAAGCTGTTTGCTATTTTTTTTGGAAAATATTTACATTTTCAGTAGAACTTGAAAGTTTTGGTTTGATCATGAGGGTCCAGATCATTTCTCTTTGGACTGGTCACCAACCTCTGAGATGTTTCTGGTATCTCTGCAGCTCAGGGGCCAAAAGTCCGCCCAGTGGCCCCAGACAGCCGAGCGCCGCTGTCACAGAGTCTTCGTCATCGACGTCAACATCGTCCTCGCTGTCCCAGCCGCCAGGACCGCTGCTGGGAGAAGGACAGCTGTTAGGATGGAAGGTGGACATCTCTGAGGTTATAGTTCAGCTGGTTCCTGATGGAGGCCAAAGCTCCTGGAAAGTTCAGGAGCTTCTCCTGCACAAGAACGCAGGAATTCCTGCCCAAACCATTAATAGATTAATATGGTGGATGTAAGGGAGGATAGGAGGAAAGGAGGATGCATGGGAAAACAGAAAATAGGACACAAGGAATAAAGGATGGAGGGAATCAGAAAGGACAGAAGAAAGGAAGGACACACAGGAATGAAGGCAGGAAGGATGGAAGGAGAGGACACAAGGGAATGAAAACGGGAAGGGTGGAAGGAGAGGACACAAGGGAATGAAAGCAGGAAGGATGGAAGGAGAGGACACAAGGGAATGAAAACGGGAAGGGTGGAAGGAGAGGACACAAGGGAATGAAAGCAGGAAGGGTGGAAGGAGAGGACACAAGGGAATGAAAACAGGAAGGATGGAAGGAGAGGACACAAGAGAATGAAAACAGGAAGGATGGAAGGAGAGGACACAAGGGAATGAAAACAGGAAGGATGGAGGGAGAGGACACAAAGGAATGAAGGCAGGAAGGATGGAGGGAGAGGACACAAAGGAATGAAGGCAGGAAGGATGGAAGGAGAGGACACAAGAGAATGAAAACAGGAAGGATGGAAGGAGAGGACACAAGGGAATGAAAGCAGAAAGGATGGAAGGAGAGGACACAAGGGAATGAAAACAGGAAGGATGGAAGGAGAGGACACAAGAGAATGAAAACAGGAAGGATGGAAGGAGAGGACACAAGGGAATGAAAACAGGAAGGATGGAAGGAGAGGACACAAAGGAATGAAGGCAGGAAGGATGGAAGGAGAGGACACAAGGGAATGAAAACAGGAAGGATGGAAGGAGAGGACACAAGAGAATGAAAACAGGAAGGATGGAGGGAGAGGAAACAAAGGAATGAAGGCAGGAAGGATGGAAGGAGAGGACACAAAGGAATGAAGGCAGGAAGGATGGAGGGAGAGGACACAAAGGAATTAAGGCAGGAAGGATGGAAGGAGAGGACACAAAGGAATGAAAGCAGGAAGGATGGAAGGAGAGGACACAAGGGAATGAAAACGGGAAGGGTGGAAGGAGAGGACACAAGGGAATGAAAGCAGGAAGGGTGGAAGGAGAGGACACAAGGGAATGAAAGCAGGAAGGATGGAAGGAGAGGACACAAGGGAATGAAAACAGGAAGGATGGAAGGAGAGGACACAAGAGAATGAAAACAGGAAGGAGAGGACACAAGGGAATGAAAACAGGAAGGATGGAGGGAGAGGACACAAAGGAATGAAGGCAGGAAGGATGGAGGGAGAGGACACAAAGGAATGAAGGCAGGAAGGATGGAAGGAGAGGACACAAGAGAATGAAAACAGGAAGGATGGAAGGAGAGGACACAAGGGAATGAAAACAGGAAGGATGGAAGGAGAGGACACAAAGGAATGAAGGCAGGAAGGATGGAAGGAGAGGACACAAGAGAATGAAAACGGGAAGGGTGGAAGGAGAGGACACAAGGGAATGAAAGCAGGAAGGATGGAAGGAGAGGACACAAGAGAATGAAAACAGGAAGGATGGAAGGAGAGGACACAAGAGAATGAAAACAGGAAGGATGGAGGGAGAGGAAACAAAGGAATGAAGGCAGGAAGGATGGAAGGAGAGGACACAAAGGAATGAAGGCAGGAAGGATGGAGGGAGAGGACACAAAGGAATGAAGGCAGGAAGGATGGAAGGAGAGGACACAAAGGAATGAAAGCAGGAAGGATGGAAGGAGAGGACACAAGGGAATGAAAACGGGAAGGGTGGAAGGAGAGGACACAAGGGAATGAAAGCAGGAAGGGTGGAAGGAGAGGACACAAGGGAATGAAAGCAGGAAGGATGGAAGGAGAGGACACAAGGGAATGAAAACAGGAAGGATGGAAGGAGAGGACACAAGAGAATGAAAACAGGAAGGATGGAAGGAGAGGAACCAAGGGAATGAAAACAGGAAGGATGGAGGGAGAGGACACAAAGGAATGAAGGCAGGAAGGATGGAGGGAGAGGACACAAAGGAATGAAGGCAGGAAGGATGGAAGGAGAGGACACAAGAGAATGAAAACAGGAAGGATGGAAGGAGAGGACACAAGGGAATGAAAACAGGAAGGAAGGAAGGAGAGGACACAAAGGAATGAAGGCAGGAAGGATGGAAGGAGAGGACACAAGAGAATGAAAACGGGAAGGGTGGAAGGAGAGGACACAAGGGAATGAAAACAGGAAGGATGGAAGGAGAGGACACAAGAGAATGAAAACAGGAAGGATGGAGGGAGAGGACACAAAGGAATGAAGGCAGGAAGGATGGAGGGAGAGGAAACAAAGGAAGGAAGGCAGGAAGGATGGAAGGAGAGGACACAAGAGAATGAAAACAGGAAGGATGGAAGGAGAGGACACAAGGGAATGAAAACAGGAAGGATGGAGGGAGAGGACACAAGGGAATGAAAACAGGAAGGATGGAGGGAGAGGACACAAGGGAATGAAAACAGGAAGGATGGAAGGAGAGGACACAAAGGAATGAAGGCAGGAAGGATGGAGGGAGAGGACACAAAGGAATGAAGGCAGGAAGGATGGAAGGAGAGGACACAAGGGAATGAAAACAGGAAGGATGGAAGGAGAGGACACAAGGGAATGAAAGCAGGAAGGATGGAAGGAGAGGACACAAGGGAATGAAAGCAGGAAGGATGGAAGGAGAGGACACAAGGGAATGAAAGCAGGAAGGATGGAGGGAGAGGACACAAAGGAATGAAGGCAGGAAGGATGGAGGGAGAGGACACAAAGGAATGAAGGCATGAAGGATGGAAGGAGAGGACACAAGGGAATGAAGGCAGGAAGGATGGAGGCAGAGGACACAAGAGAATGAAAACAGGAAGGATGGAAGGAGAGGACACAAGGGAATGAAGGCAGGAAGGATGGAGGGAGAGGACACAAAGGAATGAAGGCAGGAAGGATGGAAGGAGAGGACACAAAGGAATGAAGGCAGGAAGGATGGAAGGAGAGGACACAAGGGAATGAAAACAGGAAGGATGGAAGGAGAGGACACAAGGGAATGAAAGCAGGAAGGATGGAAGGAGAGGACACAAAGGAATGAAAGCAGGAAGGATGGAAGGAGAGGACACAAAGGGATGAAAGCAGGAAGGATGGAAGGAGAGGACACAAGGGAATGAAAACAGAAAGGATGGAAGGAGAGGACACAAGGGAATGAAAACAGGAAGGATGGAAGGAGAGGACACAAAGGAATGAAGGCAGGAAGGATGCAAGGAGAGGACACAAGAGAATGAAAACAGGAAGGATGGAAGGAGAGGACACAAGGGAATGAAAGCAGGAAGGATGGAAGGAGAGGACACAAAGGAATGAAAGCAGGAAGGATGGAAGGAGAGGACACAAGGGAATGAAAGCAGGAAGGATGGAAGGAGAGGACACAAGGGAATGAAAGCAGGAAGGATGGAAGGAGAGGACACAAAGGAATGAAAGCAGGAAGGATGGAAGGAGAGGACACAAGGGAATGAAAGCAGGAAGGATGGAAGGAGAGGACACAAGGGAATGAAAGCAGAAAGGATGGAAGGAGAGGACACAAGTGAATGAAAACAGGAAGGATGGAAGGAGAGGTTACAAGAGAATGAAAGCAGGAAGGACGGAAGGAGAGGACACAAGGGAATGAAAACAGGAAGGATGGAAGGAGAGGACACAAGGGAATGAAAACAGGAAGGATGGAAGGAGAGGTTACAAGAGAATGCAGGCATGAAGGATGATTAGGAAGGATACATGGAAAGGACACAAGGTAATGAGGGCAGGAAGGATAGAAGGAAAGGACACAGAAGAGAAGAGAAGGATGGAGACACAGTATCTGGACGTTGAAATAAACTCTGGAAATTCCAGCTATGCTTAGCTGGAACCGTTCTGAGCCCAGTCGGGCTTCAGTAACTCACCTCCCGTTGGACTTCACCGAGGTCGGGAATGGAGTGATGTTGTAGGTGTACTTCTCCCTGAGCTCGGCCAGCTGGGGGAACGGGAACACGGCCATGGAGTAAACCTCCTGACAGACGAGGAGGAGGCGGAGTTAGTTCCTCAGTTCTGATTCCAGAGGACGTTTAGATTCTGGGTCCATCAGGTACCTGCATGAGCTCAGTTGGGTCGATGAGGTTCTCCTCCAGCATCTCCTGCGTCAAGCAGCCCATGGTGCTGTAGAACTCATCTGCTGACTGGCACTCCTCGATTCTCCTGCAGAGCACAGACCGGGTCCACTTAGGAGTTCTGAAGATTAAGTGAACCAAACAAAGCTGGACTTACTCTCCCAGTCGGTCCCAGATAGCCAGGGCCACACGGAACAGAACCTCCGATCCCTCAAAGAAAACCGAGTCCCAGATCTTGAGGACTGTGGGCGCCGGAAGGCAGGTGGCGAACATGGTGAGAAACCACTGCATGGTGAAGACGTTGGTGAGCGGAGGCTCGTAGCTTCCTGGAAGCACAAGCAGCCTTCAGCTGGAGAACTTCCTTAAGGTCCTATCTGGTGTCTGCAGATCTTTACCTCCAGCCTCCCTGTTAGCAGCTCTCTGCAGGTGCTGAAGGTGCTGAGACAGCATGGGCAGCTTGACCCGCAGCAGATCCCTGAACACCGCCATGTCCACTGGAGCCAGGAGACGGACAGAACCACAACATTTACACACTATGTCTGCATAGTTACACCAAGAAGAGAAGAGGATGGGTTCAGGACTGCAAGCAGGACTTTTAGAAGGAGCAGCTGGATCCAGTTCCCTCTGCTATTCTCCAAGCAGGCCATCATATCATATTTTTCAAAGTCTGTTCTGCCTGCTGTATGTCTATATGACTCCAAGACTGACTGTTTACTCTGCGATTAACAGATCTTACTTTGCATTTTCCCACAAAGTAGATGTTGCTTTACTTTGTAACCTCGTCTCTCTTCCTATCAAGCCCATGAAATACCACTGAATGGCTGCATAGCTCAGAGTAGAATAGACCTGGTGTCTATCTCAGTTCGAGCCACCAAGCCCTATGCAGGAAATCTTGTCAGGCGTTTTTCATCCACGCTGACTTTCAATTAGCTAAACGGCACAACCTCTAAGGCTACGTTCAGAAACAAAAATGCACATTCTGCTTCATTTTTGATGCTTAAACAAGTTTAGTTCTGATGTGTGGCTAAAGCATCTTTGCTGATCTAAGTGCACGGTCAATAAGTGGGTCTGATGCGTGATGGGTGGAGCTACCCTATCCTTTCTTTGCCTGGAACAATGGCTGCTATATTTGATGTTATAAGTGGGTAAAAAGTAGTTTTAATATGTTTTTTAAGGGAGAAAGTCCACCTGAAAACTTCCTCTGTGCAGTCAGTTCATCCAGATTACCATCCTGCTTTTAAATATTATTTCCTTATTGGGAATCTTGCTCAACAGCAGCCTCTGGCCTGGTCGCTTCTCAACTGTTCGCGGTTGCAGTAAGGAGTTTTTCACATACGTACTCCAAACTGCAGGCACCAGAATAATTAAATCAAACATGTTTTGGCAGCATTTTTCAGTCTTTTAAGTTAATTTAGCCGTTAATAAACTGTTTCAGGGGAGAGTTAATAGTGATCTGCATCAGCAGTGCTGTGTCTGACTCCCTGCCAGCTCCCTGCTCAGCTTCTCTGATTGGTTGATACAGCGTTTCTAGCAGCAAAAGTTCAATTTTTCCAACTCCAGCAGTCAAGATGTGCATCAACCATTGAATTTGCATGTAAACCAGCTGCTTCTGCTGCCTCTGAACGTAGCATAAGAGACAATTTTCTGTCGGATTGGTTTTGGGCTTTTGGAGAACCCGGTCATCAGTAGGGCATTTAAATCGGGTCAGTGACTCACAGGTTGCTCCTTGGATCTGTAGTTCTGACCGGTTTTAAAAGCAGGATAAAGCTGGGCGTACCTGATAGAGCCCGCAGGTTGTTGGCAAAGTAGCTTTCAGGCAGAACCTTGTCGATGAGGTAAATCATCACCTGATGATAGTCAAAGAAAGGTTCAGAAAAGGTTTCTTGTATCTGAACCGTTCGCTGAAGCTGGACCCATGCTCACCTTCAGCGCATCACTCTCATCACCTTCTGTCACCTCCAGGATCAGAGCAGCCAGAACATTGAACCCTTGACAGTAACCAACACTCTTGTCCCAGCGGGCGTAGGCCAGCAGAACCCGCTTCAGCACCACCCGGTCCTGCTCCCCCTCCTGGCCACAGTAAGAACTGCAGCCTGTCCTGTGCAGGTCCTGGGACGGGGGATATGAACATTTTAAGACCAGATGGATATCTAGGTGCAGCTGATGTAGAGCAGAGGGTGTATAGAAAGTATTCCTAGCAGTTTTACAGAGTTGAGACGTTCTGGACCGACAGAGGAAGGTACTATCTGGCATCGAGTTCTATTAAAAGTGCTCCAGGCTCCTCCTCTCTACTTTATGGAAGCTACATCTGGCCACATGTTTCCAGAAAGGCCATTGGGATGCCGGTTGATAGTTTAAGCCTCAGTGTGACCTACCGATGGCGGCTGGGGCCTGTGTACGGCAGCCTGTGGGGCTCACCACCATCAGTGTGTGAGTGAATGACTGAATGTGGTGTGAAGCTTTGGTCAACTTTCCTGAATTAAGAAAGCGGCATACAAGTACAGGCCCTGCACCATTTGAAACTCTGCATCTCATCCTAAGAGTACGATCAAGTCCGGTTACCTTGACGATCTGGATGCCCAGGGAGTCGTCGTCCGGGTTGCTGCGCTCATTGAAGGCGAAACGAAGAGTTTTCTCCCAGTCGATGGAGATGCTGTGGAGGTAGTGGTCTGCTAGCGTTAGCCAAACCTGTAAGAGTAGAAGCAGAGAAGCAGGAACTCTGAGGATTCTGGAAGAACATCGGAGCAGTCTCACAGGTCCAACTGGTCCGCCGCTGACAGGGGCTCCTTTCTACTCCAGACGGGTTAGTTGGTTAGTCTGAGCTCTAACTGAGGTCACATGGTCATTACTAAGCTGTGGCAGATAGAGACGGGGGCCGCACGCACCCCCATTTGGGAGACCATCATAAATATTTGATACATATTTCGTTCTATTAACATGAACCGCCAGTAGCTGTCATCTACACCGGCTCTGCGGTCGAAACTCATCCTATATCCTCTGCAACCACTCCCGCCTGCACAAAGCAAAGCCTACAGCCTCTGCTCCGTCCTGCTCTGCTCCGACTTTCTCTGACCTTAAGGCACAATATTATTTAATTCATAGGATAAAAACATGTGGCAATGAACGCTTCATTTAATATAACATCATCAAAACTCACCATCAATCACACGTTTCTGTGCAAACATTTTCGTTTTGTTGTGGGACTTTGTAATCGGGATAATTAGGATGTTCTCTACTTCCAAACCCCGCATCTCTTCATTCATTCTGGCTGCAATGGAGGTTGTTGTGACTGGATTTCATTAAACATTTATGACTCTTAGTATAAAATCAATATTTTGATCGAGATGAGAAATCTGCTTCCTGGTATGATGAAGTACCGATAATCTGCATCTAATAATTTAAACAAACTGTTTCAGTTTTGGGGAATACAAGAAGAATTATGCTCTGATTTGTAGTTACCAATTTGTCGTTACTATATTTTATTTTGACAAATGATTCTTCATCTTCGGTCAGTTATACCTTTTATGAGTGCTTGTATGGAGGACCAACTCTGCCATATTTAAAGATAAATACAGAAATAAATAAATGCTCAATAAATAAATAAGCATACAATTAATTGCCACCAAAAATACAAAAAACAAATGTATGTAGGTAGAAATAAAATTATACAGTGAGACATAAATGTACAAACTCTTTAAAGCTACAGTGTGTAATTTTCAGCGACATCTAACGTCCAGACTGCAGACCGCAGCAACATGAACATCTCCCCCCCACCGCTTCTCCCCCCCAACAGTACGGCGAGCGTTACGGGACAAAATGTCTTCCACGCCGTCCGCATCACCTACCTTCTCAAGTGATGAGGTTTGTTTACATAGATAATTTTAATACTGCCATCTATTGTTCAGTACCGTCTCAGTTCATCTCTCTCAACTTGCCGTAGTTACTTTCGAGCGTAATGGGCGATCTCGCAATCGCTAGTTTGTTGGCTCTGCGCTGCCGTAGCGCAAAGATGTCTGCCTCCATGGCTGCGAGACCCGCTCCTATGTAATTATAAATAACGAATTCTAAGGAAACGCAAATATTATGGTTAAAAGGCTGAGCTCGTAGATAATGATAAATAACATAGTTATGAATAATATATTACATTTCTGACTGTATATCCCTGTAATTATTACACACTGTAGCTTTAAAAATCAGACAATGTGATTTTCTGGATTTTTTTTCTCATTTTGTCTCTCATAGTTGAGGTATATCTATGATGAAAATTACCGGCCTCTCTCATCTTTTTAAGTGGAAGAACTTGCACTATTGGTGGCTGACTAAATACTTTTTTGCCCCACTGTATGATTGGCCGAACTTAGGTGTTCAGGATGATGATGTAGCCTGCATAAAATAACGAAACCCAACCCCCCAGATTTTAAGACAGACTTTGGGACGATATGGTCTGAAAAAGAGTACATTAATATACATGTTTAACCCAGAATGATTTGACATGTAAATATGATTTCCCTAAGACCTAAACCTTATCTACTTCCAGTCTGTTCCTCTGCTTGGTTTTGATGTGAGCTGAAGGTGAACTCAAAGACTCACTTCTAGATAAATAAAAGCTGGTTCAATTTTTCAAATGGTTTTTCAAATCCTGGATCGCCCCTGCTAAGTCTATAGTCCCATTTACAATACCCTTTGGAAACCGCGCAGAGATCGGTAACCGAGATAACTGTTGAGTCTAAATGACACAAAACTACCCGACTTGGTTCTCACATAACAGAGAACATGAGTAGACCGCATCATCTCCTTACAGTCAGCCTCTGTGATCAATAAATTTCAGACATACATATAAACACTAGCCTCCCTACCGTGCCACACCATTTCCAGTGAGGATTCTAGTTAGCAGTGTGACGAACCTCAACATCTGGCATTTCTTGCGTCTGTACGCTCTGATTAGACTATGGTTTGCCGTATCCACTACTAGAAACCAGACTGTCAATCAAATTCACCAAAGGCTGCCTTCTTCGCCTGATTCTCCGCAAATAACAAAATATCTCAACTATAGCCAAACTTCCTGAATGTTACGGGCGCCGCCACATGGGCTTGCTTGTTTCTAGAGAGCAGTGGTACCGTAGGTCGTAACTAGGAGGCGAGGAACCGCCTCCGTGTGTAAACGGTCGTAAGGAACTGAGCTCAGCACAGTTAACCGATCCAAGCTCGGTCAGAACTCGGCACAGATTGGTTTCAGGGGGTGGTGTAAATGGGGCTGATGGTGGGTACCTTCTTCCTCCATTCTTTAGGTATCCCAGTTGGAAGCCGGGCCACAGATTTCAGAGCGTCATACCACTGTGGGAAAAAAAAAGACTATTTCAGTTTGAATTGAATCAAAGTTTGATCATTTTTATCGTCTATCTTTGTGATTTTCATCTGTACACAATACTTTCCAGAATGGAAAAACACAAGGCTCCAAAATAATCTCCTTACACAAACAAACATTTCCTTAAAAGGGGTCATACAATGATTCTATTGGGTATTTGGTCCTTCAGGTCTCTAATAGGGTGTGTAACATTGGTTGGGCTGAAAATGGCATATTTGCTGTTCTATGAGCCCTAATGCAGCCTGGTTAAAAGGTTAACAACAGGTTTTCTTTCTTTTATGGTATGATTATGAATATTTAGATGAGCTGTGCACTGATTGGTTGGTTTACAATGGGCAAAGCTGCCGTTCACTCACTCACTATGGTATGGTAGGGTGACCAGACGTCCTCTTTTTCAAAATCCTCTAGGATTTTGGTCATCTACAGTGCAGCTAGTGCCCGGTCCGGTCTAGTCAGTGACCCATTCTGGCTCATTTTCAATAGAGAAACTGCCTGCTTTGTAATTCTTGTAAAGGTAAACCCAACTGTAGGCTCAACAGCTAAACTGGCATCTTTCATGTCCCTCTATTCATGTTCTTGGGCCAGTAAACCAGTGGGCTGGTCTGTATGTCAAATTTCAGTGTGACAAAAGTAAAGGCCAGAACCAAAGAAGGCAACATCCCTGAGTTTACGTTAACTCGTTTTATGGTGGAAGTTTAGAATTGTGAGATTTGCAGAGAAAGGAGGTCTTTGAACTTCTCTGTACGTCCATTTTACCCACTGAACTATCGTTATTCATCTATGACAATGGAAACTCTGTTTTGCATTCTATGACCCCTTTAGGCCAGCAGCCTAATTTAAAGCAGCTTCCGTAGCGTCGTGAACGCGCCTGTGCGCGCTTTCAGGAAATCCTATACACTACTGTTTATGCTCTAAAAACATTCTAAATGGCTTCGTTTCGAGTAAATTCTGGATGCTACCCACTCAGGACACTTGGAATAAATTGGACGACCAGTATGGAGGAATATTGACACGTTTTGTGGACTTTTATGGACCTTTCTGCCTCGGGCGCCACAGACCTCCATCATCTGAATGTCAGCAGACAGCAAGAAGCCTCCCAGATCTCCAGATGCATTTGAGATATCAAAAAAGTACTCCAGAGTGTTGTTCAGCATGGGGGTGATTGTATGTGAGGGATTGTATTTGAGTCAATGAGTCAATGCAATCAACTGGTTTTCCTTAGATAGAAAACTTTGTATCAATTTGACTGTATGATCTGGTTGAACTGTAAAGTGCCTTGAGATGACGTGTTGTGAATTTGGCGCTATATAAATAAACTGAATTGAATTGAATTGAGTAGAAAATGAAGGCTAATCATGTTTTGGGTGTACTATTCCTTTAAGTGAAGGAAATTGTATAAAATGATGAATTCTTGTCTCATTTATGTTTATCAAAAAACAGAGATGTTGAAGGGATTTCTGCTGGGCTGGTTTCAGATAATTCTGTACTCACCTGCTGGAAGCCATTGTTCCCCAGCGATGGCTCAATGGTGAATTTAAGCCTTGTGTCAACACCTGAGAACAAAGAAGAAGAGGGACTTAATGGGGAGTTCAGGGGTGGAGGAAACACAGGCTGATGTCTGAACAAACAAAAACAATCACTGCCTAAAAAGAAAAAATAATGCAGAAAAATCAGGATTTAGAGAAAAGCCTCAAGGTTTCATAAATAAGATGAATAAAATCATTTCCAGGAGTCCCTAATCCTTTTCCATCTTTTTATGACCTATTAAAGTTTAGCTGCTGTCCACTTCCACGCAGTGCTGAATCCTAAATCGGGCCCCCTGGGTCTCCAGCACAGATAGAGCTCCATGAACCTGCAGGGTCCGGTGCTGCTGGATCCTCCTGCGCCATTCTGCTCCCGCTGCAGACTCGCTTCTCGGTTCCGATGGAGGATTAACCTGGAAATCTCCTCCCACTTCCACGTATGGGATTATATTCCTACACTGCAGCGGGATTACAGTGGCTCCACCGCGCGACCTAACCGGAAGTGGTTTATAATCAAAGTAAAATCTAAAATAAAAGCCGGAGTTCTGCATCCGAGCAGAAATAATAATAAAAAAAAAAGCTTTGATTTGATTTTACAATAAAAGGGTTAAACTGGAAGTTTATCGGTCTCATTTAAGGATCCAGTTTCTCATTAAATGTTTCTAAACAGAATCAATTCAGGGCTTTTATTTTGTCGGAACCAGCAGGTCCAGACGGGAGCTGCGCACCTGGCTCCAGGGTGCAGAGCAGCCGCGGAGCGCTTCTGGAGATCCCGTCCCGTTTCCTCAGGACGCTGCTGATGATGCTGCCCACCCCGCCCTGCTGCCGCTGCCTGCCGGCGGCGCGGGGCCTCCTGCCGGCGGGGAGCCGCACAGGCCTCATCCCGGAATCAAAGCTCTCCTTGCGGACAGTCAGCTCATCGCCTGCCGCCTCCTCCCAGACAGCCCGGCTCCATGCGGAGCGGAGCGACGATCGGCGCGGCTCCAAAAAGCATCGATCAAAGGTTCAGAGGAGGAACCAGGAGCTGGAAAACATCAGAGCAGGAAGCGATGCTGATGCTGCACTCCTCCTCCTCCTCCTGGTGACGACAACTAGGAGGAGGGAAGGGAGGAAGATGGATGATCGATCCGTCTGTTCCTGTTAAATCCAGCTGGAGCAGGGGCGGTTCTACACCAGATGTAGGGAGGGGGCTGGGTGGGGGATTCAAATATAAAAAGAGCCTGATGAACCAGACTAAATGTGAGATTAAATGTGTAATTTAGTCTGGCCCTGATGAATGAGACATTAGAAGATTGTTAATGAGAACAATCATTGTTTTTCTAACCATGTCTGTGCCTATTGGCCAATGCTCTGACCAATGAGCAACTGACTGTGATGTAGGAAGCCCGACAGAAAGCTGGTGGGGAAGTGTAAACAAACAGCCTGTCGGTAAAACCATGAATACGTCCTCCTTAAAAATGAAGAACGTATAGCCACTTCCTGCACGCGTTTTAACGAAAACCCCAAGTCTTTGTCGTCACGCCCTCAAACCCCGCCCGCTTTGCATCCAGATATTGAAAACACATCCCTGCGTTGTGATTGGTCCGCCGGTTCCAGGGCCTGGGGCATTGATCGAGGCTTGATATTGGCTGCTGGTGGGTGGGGCTAGTTTACTAGGCTAAAAGAGAGCTGCATTAATTGGAAAATTCTATTCAATTAGGTTTAATTAAAGTTCTATGCCTTATATACATTCATAATTTAGGAATTTTACATATTTTTTACTTAATTTAAAGCCGGGCCCACAGTGTGCGATTTTTTTTAGCCCTTTTTGGGCTGACTTTCCAGTCATGCGAGAATTTTCGATCGGGCCGCATGTAGCCTGATAGTGCCTGAGGTTTGGTTGTACAGTGTGAATTGTAGCTGCGTGCAACATTACAGAAAAATCGCACAGTGTACGCCCGGCTTAAGTTAAAATGACCGTTTTCTGTAAAATCAGAATTAAGGCTCGAGAAAAACAGATAAATTCAGCTGTTTTTTTTTTTTTTTTTGTTTTGAAAAGAACATTTAGCAGATGAAACCTGGGATCCTATCTCAATACTGCTGAAGCCACCACCTTATTGTTTTTAAATTATTTATAAAATAGAATTTGTAAAGAAAAAAGATAAAATAGATCAGTAATCATGGTTGTTCCAGCACATATCATCATTAGAATTTCTTTGAGTATTACGTCTTTGGTACAGGGGCCATAACGTGATCTACAGGGGCACTGGCCCCCGTTGGCCCCCGTCCAGAACCGCCTATGATTTGGACAAACAATAGAAACAACATTGACAATACTAAAAGGAGTTTTTAAAATTTTCAATTTATTTATCAGGAGAAGCAGGAATCCAAAGAAGTCAAAAGGACTTATTTCATGAGCTTTAGAGATTCAAAAACTTATTAGAAACCAAGTCCCTGACATCTTTGGGCGTAAGCCCCTGTCACACCGTGTTGATTTAACCAGCGTATGCCTGTTGTACGAGAAATCTGGCAAAGCTGCTGGTATACTTTTTATGGGTTAGTTTTGTATAAGCAGGGTCGGATTTAAAAACGTTGGGGCCCTAGGCAAAATTAGGCAGGGGGCCCTCTGAATAGAGAAAACACATAAAACAGACCCATTATATAGATACTCTGAACCGTCAGAGTAGAACCCAAACTCTGAACCGTCAGAGTAGAACCCTAACTCTGAACCGTCAGAGTAGAACCCTAACTCTGAACCGTCAGAGTAGAACCCTAACTCTGAACCGTCAGAGTAGAACCCTAACTCTGAACCGTCAGAGTAGAACCCAAACTCTGAACCGTCAGAGTAGAACCCTAACTCTGAACCGTCAGAGTAGAACCCTAACTCTGAACCGTCAGAGTAGAACCCTAACTCTGAACCGTCAGAGTAGAACCCAAACTCTGAACCGTCAGAGTAGAACCCAAACTCTGAACCGTCAGAGTAGAACCCAAACTCTGAACCGTCAGAGTAGAACCCAAACTCTGAACCGTCAGAGTAGAACCCAAACTCTGAACCGTCAGAGTAGAACCCAAACTCTGAACCGTCAGAGTAGAACCCAAACTCTGAACCGTCAGAGTAGAACCCAAACTCTGAACCGTCAGAGTAGAACCCAAACTCTGAACCGTCAGAGTAGAACCCAAACTCTGAACCGTCAGAGTAGAACCCAAACTCTGAACCGTCACAGTAGAACCCAAACTCTGAACCGTCAGAGTAGAACCCAAACTCTGAACCGTCAGAGTAGAACCCAAACTCTGAACCGTCAGAGTAGAACCCAAACTCTGAACCGTCACAGTAGAACCCAAACTCTGAACCGTCACAGTAGAACCCAAACTCTGAACCGTCACAGTAGAACCCAAACTCTGAACCGTCACAGTAGAACCCAAACTCTGAACCGTCACAAACTCTGAACCGTCACAGTAGAACCCAAACTCTGAACCGTCACAAACTCTGAACCGTCAGAGTAGAACCCAAACTCTGAACCGTCAGAGTAGAACCCAAACTCTGAACCGTCAGAGTAGAACCCAAACTCTGAACCGTCAGAGTAGAACCCAAACTCTGAACCGTCAGAGTAGAACCCAAACTCTGAACCGTCAGAGTAGAACCCAAACTCTGAACCGTCAGAGTAGAACCCAAACTCTGAACCGTCACAGTAGAACCCAAACTCTGAACCGTCACAGTAGAACCCAAACTCTGAACCGTCACAGTAGAACCCAAACTCTGAACCGTCACAGTAGAACCCAAACTCTGAACCGTCACAGTAGAACCCAAACTCTGAACCGTCACAGTAGAACCCAAACTCTGAACCGTCACAGTAGAACCCAAACTCTGAACCGTCAGAGTAGAACCCAAACTCTGAACCGTCACAGTAGAACCCTAACTCTGAACCGTCAGAGTAGAACCCAAACTCTGAACTCTTATCAGTGCTGCCAACTTCTGGTTTATATGAGAACTGCTCTGTTCCAGAGGTGGAGAATTACATCCAGATTGGAGTAATCATGTGGTTTGGGACAGTGGGGGGGACAAAGGGGTGGCCATGCCCCCTGCTCCCTCCCTAACTCTGCCTTTAGACCTATACATCTAGAAGCTAAAGAGGAGCTCTTCAGCAAAGGACCAAGGAGAACACTAGCAGGAGCTCTCCGTTTTAGATGAGCTCCTCCTACAAGTCTGAAAAACAACCATTCGGACCTCAGATTTAGATCCCACACAGACTGTTTAGACTTTTACGTCCACGCCAGAGCTACAGATGTAAATGACTACTGAACGATACAGTTCTCCTTCTTGTTCATTGGTCCAGCAGTGCCACCTAGTGGTAAATTTAAGAAGAACAGTAGATTTTCTTCTTGTGTTTTTTGTGATATGCTGCACTTCCTGTTATTGCTAAGCATGTTCAGACAGCGTTAGATCCTGAAGAAACCTGTTAAAATAGCACACTTGGAAAGCAGAATGAGGTATAAATATGAACAATTGTGATAAAAGTTATTAATTTGTTTTTGAAGCAGTAGAAAATCATTAGTTTATTTGTTTAAAACACAAAAACTTTATGCTGACGAGTTAAGGACAATATAAATCCTTTTTTGTTGTATGCGTGAACATTAATACTTTAATTTTAAACAAGAGTTAAGCATGTCAAACAATTTCATATTCTTGTATTTCATGCTACAGGTTTCAGTTTTTGAACTCCCGGCGTCTGGCTGCTAATTCCAAGAGGCCGCTACAGTGAAAACTCATTGCAAGAGACTAGATCTCTCTACAGTGAAGCTGACACTATCCCATCTGAAACCCAACTGTCTCTACTCGCACCAAGGATCTCACACAGGCAAGATAAAGCATATAATTAAAATGGACCATCACCTGAACAAGCTCACAACATACCTGAATTGGCATAGGGAGGCAAGGGATAAATAGAAAGTCTTCGTTGAATCCAAAGCAGTTGAAGAAAGGAAATAAAATATCACTTCCAACAGAGAAAACAGATAATCCTGTAGACATGCCACTCAGGTCTAGCTCCAGAGAAAGAAAACAAACAGAAAAATGCCAAGAGATGCACATACTGGAAAACATAAAACGTGAGAAAGCGTTCCACAAGGCCTATGATTCTTGGAAGTGGTTGGCAAGAGAAACTAGGAAAAAACTAAAGGCCCTCTGTACATTAGAAGAACTCAGTGTTTTACAGGAAAGTATTCAAGCAAAGTATGCTGCAGTAAGACTGCAGGACGAACCCATTTTACGAACAGTAACACCACATGGAAGCCTGCGTTACGCTTAGAAAAGACATTTGTGACCTCAAATAATCGTACAGAGACTATTGATAAAGATTATAATAGTCATCTTGAGAAAGAAAGATTAAAGGAATAGTACACCCAAAACATGATTAGCCTTCATTTTCTACTCACCCCCATGCTGAACAACACTCTGGAGTACTTTTTTGATATCTCAAATGCATCTGGAGATCTGGGAGGCTTCTTGCTGTCTGCTGACATTCAAATAATGGAGGTCTATGGTGACCGAGACAGAAAGGTCCATAAAAGTCCACAAAAAACGTGTCAATATTCCTCCATACTGCTCGTCCAATGTATTCCAAGTGTCCTGAGTGGGTAGCATCCAGAATTTACTCGAAACGAAGTCATTTACAATGTTTTTAGAGCATAAACAGTAGTGTATAGGATTTCCTAAAAGCGCGTTCACGACGCTACGGAAGCCGGCAGACCAAACCAGATGAAAGTGTGCATTCAGCATCTGCTCTGCCGATAATGCAAGCGTAGAAGAAGAAATGTGCTGTTTACCTGTGCAAAGAAAGAAACCACGAAAGAAAAATGTCTGAGGACTTCAGTGTTGAGGAAGAGCATGAGTTCTTTGCCGAGCTGAATGCGCACTTTCATCTGGTTTGGTCTGCCGTGGTTTCCATAGCGTCGTGAACGCGCTTTTAGGAAATCCTATACACTACTGTTTATGCTCTAAAAACATTCTAAATGACTTCGTTTCGAGTAAATTCTGGATGCTACCCCTCAGGACACTGGGAATACATTGGACGAGCAGTATGGAGGAATATTGACACGTTTTTTGTGGACTTTTATGGACCTTTCTGCCTCGGGCGCCATAGACCTCCATTATTTGAATGTCAGCAGACAGCAAGAAGCCTCCCAGATCTCCAGATGCATTTGAGATATCAAAAAAGTACTCCAGAGTGTTGTTCAGCATGGGGGTGAGTAGAAAATGAAGGCTAATCATGTTTTGGGTGTACTATTCCTTTAACATTAAACAAAGATGAATATGGATCTATCTTTGGTCACACTCAAACTGAAACCATAAGTAGGGCCCTATAATTTCCGCAATCACGGAATCGCGGAATTGGCAAATTAACGCAGAATCTAGTGTAAACGTAGAATTTCTACATTTGAAATGAAATTCTGTTTTTGTGTGGGAGAAGAACGTACGTCGGGGGGAAATGCACACCGGGGACGCAAATCCGGGCGACACATCCATCAGAATTTGAAAAAAATGGCGACGCGGCTCTCCACACCTCAGCTTTCGGCGAAAAAGTTGAGAAACACGACGCTAAGCCCTGAGTATAGAGCCGAGCAGTTCCCTCGTGACTTTTACGTGTCAGGTGAACTATCGTTTTGCAAGTCAACATTCCATTGATTGGAAGCGCAAAAATACATACATAAAACGGAAAAAACGGAATTTGGGAAAAATAAAACAGATTTTATAGGGCCCTACATAAGCTTATCAAAGTCATCAGAGACTTCAAGCAGCCATTCCAGCTCATCTAGTACAAATACCAGCAAGGCAGATGCACAAGCAGAGCTTGCTGCTAAAGTGGAGCAATCAAAGGCCACAAAAGAAATTCAAGCGCAGCGAGCACGGCTTCAAAAATTAGAAAATGAATGGAAACTTAAGAGTCAGAAATGCTGTCAGAAATGAAGCTAAAAGAATTGGAAATGCAACAACAGATGGATCAAGGAAGAGCAAAACTGCAGCTGTTAAAAGAGAAATGGAAATAGCTTTTTTTAGAACTTGCAGCAGTGGTTTCTACAAAGGTCAGCGTTAAGTTAAGATGTGAACTTGACCTGAAGATTGATCAAGAGTTTTTCTGGACTGACTCACGAGTTGTACTAGGGTACATCAATAATGATGCCTGCAGGTTCCACATATTCGTTACCAACCGTGTCCAAGTGATTAGAGATAATAACAGCGATCCTAATCATTGGCATTATGTTGAAACCTCAAGAAAGATGACGTTGTCATTATCAAAGACGACGACTTTCCAAGAAAACGGTGGCAACCAGGATGAGTGGTGGAAACCGTTCAAGCCAGCAATGGATTGGTCCGTCGAGTCAAAGTTCAAGTTGGAGAGCGAAAGTCCAATTCTTCTTCTTCTATTGAGAGGCCAATCCAGAAAATGGTTCTTTTTTTGGAAAATTGAGCAGAACAGAAGAACTTTTGTACAGTTTATTTACTCTATGCTGGTTTTATGCAACCATATTCATTTAGTAGAATCTAGAAATCCTGTTCAATTAATGTACCCCTTACATGTTACTCTGTTCAATCATCAAGACAGGATTTGGTGGGAGTGTAAAGGACTACTAAACGACAAAATTCTCGTTCTTGTTCATTGGTCCAGCAGTGACACCTAGTGGTTAATTGATGCTTTATTTTGAAGAACAGTAGATTTTCTTCTCCAGTTTTTTGTGACATGCTGCACTTCCTGTTCTTGCTAAGCATGTCAGACAGCGTTAGATCCTGAAGAAACCTGTTAAAATAGCACACTTGGAAAGAAGAATGAGATATAAATATGAACAATTGTGATTTGTGATAAATGTTCATTTATTTTTGAAGCAGTAGAAAATCATTAGTTTATTTGTTTAAAACGCAAAACTTTACGAGTTAAGGACAATACAAATCCTTTTTTGTTGCATGTGTGAACATTAATATTTTAAATTTAAACAAGAGTTAAGCAGTTTTTGAACTCCCTGCATCTGGCTGTTAATTCCAAGTGGCCGCTACAACAGATGGCTACTAGCCACATTAGCTGCCACACATATGGTTTCTTCCCCAGGCTGTGTCCCCGATGGACCCCGGTAGCCTGAGAATTTCTCCCACATACCTGTAACTATTCTGACTGAAACCAAGCAGAGAACTTCCATAAAGACAGAAACTTCTGAAGGGGATTGTTGAATAAAACTAAATGTTAATAAATCTTTTGGAGTCTTACGTCGCTTCTGAGAGACAGCCTGAAGGCAGGCCGTGATGATGTCATAGTTCTTCTGCCGTTTGTTGTAAAGTCGGTCGCGCCTCTTCAGCTGCCGGATGAGCTTGGTGGACTGCAGCCCAGAGCGGTACTTCACCTCCTGGATGATGGAGCGCAGCTCCTGCAGGTCTGGCAGAGGGAAGAGAAAGCACGGACTTAAGCAGGGAGAGAATCAGATTTACATCATTAGGAAGGCCGTCAGGAAGCCACACCCACATCAGGGTAAAAGTCTCCCGAGTTCGGTCCAAAGATCAGCACTTCCAGAACAGTCTGTTTGGCACAGAGGGATTTAGAGCCAGAACATGATCCAGATTCCCCTCTGACAGTCACAATCAGAACACATTGATTTTTCAACATTTTCAGCAGCTTCCAATGAAGCTATAATCTCTTCTGGTCATTATTGAGGACCCAACTATCAGAACTCTGAAATGTCAGATATACATAATACCTCAAAATGTTTTAACAGAAATGGAAAAGGGAAATCACTGTTGTAATGTTCTTAGAAAGTTTTATCAGCCTAAAAATCTACAAAACAAAACAAAACTTAGCCCCTCCCCCAGCAGGCGCCGCAGACAGAGCTGCTCCTTCAGATGCTATCAGATCGTTTCCTCTTCTTGACTTCCAGCTCTCAGCATTCTTTATCTCCACCAAGCCAAATGTGAGTGAAGGGTGAGGCTCTGGATTCCTGTTTAGCTCCGTGGTCCCGACCAGCCTAGAGACCCAGAACCTCAATCTGACCGGCAGTTTCAGCTCCTACAGACGTACTGGTCAGAGCCAAACCTCCGGTTCCGCCTTCACTACAACTGTGCAGCGATGGAAGATTATTTTATTTAGCTTGGTAGGAAATCTTTCAAGACCAACCAGTAAAATGTCAAGTCTTCACTTGTGAAATCAATACACTTAAAAAACAGAACCTGTGTGACAAGACAAAGTAAGCCAAAAGATTTCAACCAGCAAAACATCCTAACTCTAACCCATCTAGATTACCTAGAAAGCCTAACCCTGATCTAAGCATAACCTTAACCCTAACCTTTGCCTAAACCCAACCTACCGGTAACCCTAAACTTAACCTAAGCCTGACCTATATCTATGTCTAAGCCTTACCTAAGCATAAACCTCACCTAAGCCTAACGTCAACCTAAGCCAGACTCCAAACTAAGCCTAACCCGGACGTAACCCTTACCTTAGCCAAGTTGACCTAAGCCCAACCGCGAACAAACCGTAAGCCTGACCTAAGCCCGACACGACCCTCCGTAAACAGCCGACTTCCTGAAGCTCCACTTCATTCCATTGATTCTTGCGTTTTCTTGAATCAAATCTGATCCCACAGATGTTTATAGTCAGATTTATACAGTGTACCACCTGTAGTTTCTGCAGGTTAATGGTCCCCAGAGCTCATCACTGGGCTCATTAAAACATAGGTTATTGCTCTTTTACACATAAATGAAATAAAAAAAAAAATTCTCATGAGATAGTTCAAATAAAACGGTCCCAGTCTGTTTTGCTTACTGAATGCCAGTAAAATTTCAGACTTGTATCAAAAACATTGAGCTACTTTTTTCCTAGGTATTGTCATTACACCGTCACAAGTACAGAGCATCAAAATTCATTCTCTGGATTTAACCCCTCCCCTTGGGGAGCAGTGGGTTGACACTGCCAGGGGAGCAGTGTGGGATTTAGGGTCTTGCTCAGGGACTCAGAGTGGCAGTTGGTGGGAGTGGGCCTAAAGGAATAGTACACCCAAAACATGATTAGCCTTCATTTTCTACTCACCCCCATGCTGAACAACACTCTGGAGTACTTTTTTGATATCTCAAATGCATCTGGAGATCTGGGAGGCTTCTTGCTGTCTGCTGACATTCAAATAATGGAGGTCTATGGTGACCGAGACAGAAAGGTCCATAAAAGTCCACAAAAAACGTGTCAATATTCCTCCATACTGCTCGTCCAATGTAATCCAAGTGTCCTGAGTGGGTAGCATCCAGAATTTACTCGAAACGAAGTCATTTAGAATGTTTTTGGAGCATAAACAGTAGTGTATAGGATTTCCTGAAAGCGCGTTCACGACGCTACGGAAGCCGGCAGACCAAGCCAGATGAAAGTGCGCATTCAGTGTCTGCTCTGCCAATAATGCAAGCGTAGAAGAAGAAATGTGCTGTTTACCTGTGCAAAGAAAGAAACAACGAAAGAAAAATGTCTGAGGACTTCAGTGTTGAGGAAGAGCATGAGTTCTTTGCCGAGCTGAATGTGCTGGTTTGGTCTGCCGGCTTCCGTAGCGTCGGGAGTGCGCAGTGTGTCACAGTGACAGTCGCAGATATTTTTCATTTATGCCCAGTTTTGAAGCGTGGTCTGCTCTATTTTATTCCACGCCACAAGGCAAGAGAGACAATCGAGAACTAGCTGTGGGTCTAGATACGGCCGCGGCGGTGAACTCGAAAAACACAAGAGGCAACTTTGTGTGAAAACGGAGGGTCGTCAGGGCGAAAAAGCTCCAGGTGAAAAAAACATCCCAGCGTTCTCGTGCACCTCGCCCTTCTAGCTGGTCCAACGTCACGAGTCATTTTCCACAATGGCGGTCATACAAACAAACAGGAAATATACATAGTGTAGAGCAGATGTTGATTTGACCAATCAGAGTCTCCTGTGTGCAGTCTCCTAAAATTTTGGAGAGGTGCACCATAGTTTCTGCGGAAGGGGCGGGGGCATATTTGCGTTTCACTGCGACACACGCGCAGACGACCTGGTTTCTGAGTATAAATCAGCCTTAAGACCTCTACCTGATCCAACTGACATGTAGGTAGGCTGTTTTTTTAAATCTTCAAAACGCTTATAACATTAAGTGTGCCCCTCCCCCCCAGTGTCCACCATATTGAATAATTTAATTTGCTGCACATGTTCAGAAAGGTCCAAACAGACAGCAGCAAACCATTTCAAAACTAACGATGCAAAGAGCAGTGTTGCCAACTTAGCGCTTTTGTCGCTATATTTAGACACTTTGCAGACCCCTCTGGCACTTATTTCAAAAAAGCTCCTAGCGCCAAATCTAGCTTCTTTTTTTCTGCTACTGGAGACTTTGGAGACAACATCTAAAAGCAGCGAACTCTGCTCTCCAGAGCGAGTAGGTTGGTAACCCCGCCTCCTGCTCTCCTCTATCTTGTCTGCTGTCATGATTCATGCAGCTATTATTTCATCCAAATGAAAAATGGAGAACAGAGAAGCAGATCATGGCTTGTCTACAGTGAAAAGAAGGACTGGGTTATTTACTTTGGCCTTTTTGGAAACACAGGAAGGAGCAATCAGCTAAGTGAGCTTAGTGCTTGGAAAAAATCTTTCATTCCTTTAGAGACAGCATGAAAAGTCAGCTGAGTACAAAACATAGAGAGGAAAACAAGAAGAAAAGGGACAAGAAGAGAGGGACACAACCTAGAACAGATAATGGATGTCTATTCTATTCAATTCAATTCAATTCAGTTTATTTATATAGCGCCAAATTCACAACACATGTCATCTCAAGGCACTTTACAGTTCAACCAGATCATACAGTCAAATTAAAATATCTATATCTGTATAATGGGTGGGTTTTATGTGTCGTCTTCTCAATTCAGAGGGCCCCCCGCAGGGCTCGATGCTAACCATCGCCCGGGGCAAGTAGGTTTTTTTGTCGGGAGAGTACAAATTTAATTTCATTTGCCCGTCGGGCAAGTGTAATGATTGCAAAAAAAAAATTTATTTATCACTCAAAATTACTTTAAAATCATCGACATTCGATGAAAACGACGCAGAAGCGTTGCCGGCGCCATTTTTGTTTTCTCGTGTGATTTGAAAAAGCCGGGTGATTTTCCACCAGATGGTGTGATTTTTGTCCACCTGGTGTTTAATTTTGATCTAGTTACCAAAACGACAAACGGCTGCATTTATTTTGTCAGGGAAAACTAATCCTGAGTGAGTTAAAAGTCAGGGAATTCTGAAATGATGTCAGACTGTGGAAACCCTGAATAAAATAACTATAATGATTCTCTAGAAAAGTCACATTATATTAATAGTATTATCTTGTATAAACATACCGTGACTCTAAAATAAAAGTTATTCATTTGTAACATTGACGTCTGTCTTGTGATTTATCTTAAGTTTTTAACCTGTCAAGTTTTTTTTTAGATTTTTAACATTACAATTTATATTTTTCCAAGCAGACAACAGTTTAAAGCAAAGTTTAGTTTGTAAAGAATGTGCAGGAAGGATTGAAAAGCATGTTAACACGGTAATGTAGGCTTGAGTTCATTATCTGACGCATGCAGATACACACCAGGAACCTGGAAACTTAAACAATACTGAATTACAAAAAACATTTAAAAAACAAACATATTTCATTGATATATATACAAAAATGAATATTAGGAACTATATTTATCAAACATTATACTGGGCAAGTAAAAATTGTTTCTGTGCAAATGACCTCAACCCCTGCCCTGCCTGCTTTTGCCCCTAATTTCCTAAGTCCGCCCCTGTCCAAAGGGATAGAATAAATGCAGAGCTGAATTTCTCCAGTGTGAGATTAAGTTCAATTACTATTATAAAAAAAAAAAAACTTCAGATGATGTTTATATTCCATTAAAACTGAAACAAACCAAGTTCTCTTCATCATTTTAGGGACAGAAGAAAAATGAGTTCCATCAGACATTATATTTTTTTTCATGACCAACTTCTGCTTTGTTCCGATGTGTTTAAACTAATCCAGACAGTTTGGACCCTCCAGGATGTGCCAGCCCTCACCTTTCTGGGCCAGGTACTTCATCTGGAGCCTCCTGGTGTGTCTCTCCTGCAGCTCCTGCAGGAAGCCGGATCCGGAGTTACTCCGGCCCAGGAAGGCATCGGAACCGGACGCCTCCGTGGAGCTGTCCCAGCTGTCCGCGGTCCTCGTGTCGTAGAGCTCCACCAGCAGGCAGTCCACGATGGAGGTCCTGCTGCGGGGGGCGGTGTCCCCGCAGACCCCCTGCTCTGATTGCGATGATGTGTCTTTGTTCGTCCACTGCTGGAACCCGTAGGAATCGTCCGTGGAGTGAAAGTCCACGCCGCCCACTCCACGGTCACATATGGTAACTTCCAAAAGTTCCTTTCTTTCCGGCCCCGGACTCGATGCCATGTTTCCGGCCTGTGAACCGGTTCTGGTTCGGAGCTTTTTGATCCAGGAGCTGACGTCTGGAGCGGTAGTGCAGTTTCTCCGACTGTTCCTGGAAGACTCCACTGATCCCTTCACAGAGGTGTGACCCGGTCCAAACGCGCCTGCTTCCTTCTTAAATGTTCCGGACTGGAATTCTCTGCTCCCCCTCCAGGCCGAACAATGGACCGGTCCACTGCAACTTCTGAGCGGCCGACAAACTTTTTCAGCTCCACTGACAGGTGCAACAGGTGCCTCTATCAGCCAATCAGAGACGAGTCGAAAATGATCGACCAATCAGCTTCCTTTCCTTGGCAGCTTGTTTGACAGGAAGTGTTTGGACTGTTTTTGTTTTATTATTACAGGACTCAGATAAGTTGGTTTTATTTTCAGGGAAATAATTATTTACATTCTCTCTAAATTGTAAAAAATGTGACTAATTTTAATCACGTGACTTGACATCAAATCTGGATTAATTTGCTAATTTTAAATGCTAATAGGTTCATTTTTAAGCTTTTGTGTTTAAAATTTCTTAGGAAATGTTTAAAGATACACTGTCATTTTAGTGACATAAGCTTAAACAAACAATGAAAGTGCTTGTGCAACTTGTGCAATAAAATGAAAGGCTTTATTTATTTTTGTTCAGGAATAAATTGCATAAATATTGATAAGTAAGGGGCCCCATCACTGAAACCTTGTTCCCCAACGTAATTGTAGACTAGGATGTCTCTTTGCAGATGCAATGGTATGAAAAATTCCTCTAATACCTTCCTGATACTGACAGCACCAGACATAATTATACCGCAACACATGGCAGATTTCACAATGATGGTGAGCCGTTTAAAGACGACACCAATAGCAAAGCAGACAGTGGTACTTTCACTTACTATGTTAATAACTGTGTATAGTTTATTAGATGGTTGGTAAAAAATACACTCATATAATATGTTTCAAACCGCAATAAAGATCTTAAAAGAAAAATGTATTAGAGTATTATATTTTTTACACTACGACTTGGAGTTATGGGTAACCCAGAATGTAGATTAAAACCATAAGCTAGTGATGTTACGAGATGAGCCGAGGCTTCGAGGCGTGTGTCGAGTAATGAAGGGGGCATTTCCCTGAAGCTCGTGTCACGGCGTGATTCATTTAGGGGAGGGGCCAAAATTGATGACATCCGAGGCCTCGTTACCATGATACCATGTGACCGCTTCGCGAAATGATTCAGGAAGCGCAAGAATTTTGACTGGCACCTATACAGCCTCAGTGTTAAGTCAGGATTTGGGAGTTTGGAGGAGAGCTGCTGTCAGCTGGATAGAGTTTGGATAGATTCTAAGAATAGATTGGTTGGAAAAACAACCAATCTATTGGTTAAAACTAATTTGGTTAGAATAAACAATGTAATGATCAAAATCTAAAGAAACCACCGGAAAAACTCAGTGTTAACACGTCACATCTATATAGGTGGCGTCATCTGTGAGAAACAGACTCTGACGCTAGAGGTTGATGGTTCAAGACCTGTCTTTGACTTTTGAAAGTTGCGATTAAACTTAATTATTTTGGCTGATGAGATTAATTTGCATTGTTTTGCCCGAGTAAAAATATAGATTGGGTAAATTAGGTCAGTTTAGCCAAAAGATTGGTTGAACACAACTTCCAACCTGAAACCAAAAAAACTTGGAAAAACTATCATGTTTGAATAAAAATGACTTATACCTTTCATTTTGCTCATCATTGCCCAATTTGCACAAACACTTTCACTCTCTGCTTGAGTTTATTTCAATAAAATGACAGAAAAACTGTGAACCTTAAATGATTGTTCTAAGAAATTTTACACTTAAAAAAATTAAAAAAGATTTTATTATACACACCAACCATTAACAATTTCAAAGGAAGCTGAAAGGGGAAAAAAGAACAGTTGCAAAAATAAAAATAAAAAATCACAGATTTTATTACAAACTGTAGTTCTGCTGTCCACCAGTAGGTGGTGACATGTTCACTACCATAACCATTACATACAATTTGTTAGCGACGATGGATACCAAAAAGAGATACTTAAGCGGATTCCAGAAAAGAAAAAAGAAAGAGGAACCGAAAAAAAAAACTCCCCACATTCTTTCAAACAACCGAAGAGGCAGAGGGTTGGGTTTGATAAGCAACTCCTTAAAATTTGTTTTTGGAACTTGGGATGTCTGTAACATGTGGTAGTGCGCTGTCACTGTCACCAATGGTTCCATTCAAGGAGCATACTCACTATTTTTCTGTGTGTGATGTTTGATTTTATGCTACTGAGAATTGCATAATTGTATCTTCTTCGCCGATTTATGCAACTGTCGCCGTATCCTGAACCTTTATCACATGTTGCACTTCATATGAGTTCCACACAGATAATGTTATGTATACATTATATACAATGTAAGTAAAATGTCTTCAATCTTGAAAAACGAAGTTCAGAGAAGCAGAGGGGTTACGCAGAGGGGTTACGCAGACTCGGCTACTCACTGAGTGAGGTTCAGGCTCACAGGCAGGCAATCCAAGGCAGAACTGATGCAGGGGTCCAGACGGAGATCTGGTTTGGATTCAGGACAGGTAGACAGGATTAGATAAGGGATCAGGCAGGCTTGGTGAATAAAGGCAGAAAATAGGTCAGGCAACAGGTAGGCAGGCAAAAGATTGAAATGCTGGAAGGTACTCAACGGTTGGTTTGAGACGATCTGGCACTGGGAACAGATCCAAATGAGGTATATATAGAGGTGTAACCAATTAGTGATAATAGCAGTCAGGGTAGAGTGAGCAGGTATGTCGAGTTTGGGATTAAGCCAGCACCAGTGCCGAGATCGTCACAGAATTCTGCTTCACAATGATACAGGAGGAGAAAAACATCAAAGGATCAAAAAGCGACGTCGCTATGAACGCTTGGCTGCCACAAGCCTGTTATCCCTATGGTAACTTTTTTGACACCTCCTGCTTAAAACCCAAAAAGTCGATCGTGAGGCCCCGCTTTCGTGGTCTGTATTCATACTGAAAATCAAGATCAAGCGAGCTTTTGCCCTTCTACTCCACGGGAGGTTTCTGTCCTCCCTGAGCTCACCTTAGGACACCTGTGTTACCGTTTGATAGGTGTACCGCCCCAGTCAAACTCCCCACCTGCCACTGTCCCCCATGCGGGTCGCATCCCTCGGGCAAGGGTTGCTTGACGCCAGAACCGAGAGCTAGCCTTCACGCCTCACCCTGTAAGTGAAAAAATATATAAGAGTAGTGGTATTTCAATGGCTGACCGGAGCCTCCAACTTCTTCTACACCTCTCATGTCTCTTCACGGTGCCAGACTAAAGTCAGCTCACCAAGGTCTTCTTTCCCTGCTGATTCTGCCAAGCCTGTTCCCTTGGCTGTGGTTTCGCTGGATGGGGGTTAGGGACAGTGGGAATCTCATTCATCCATTCATGCACATCACTAATTCAACATATTCTCATTATCAGTTCGTATGAAATCGTACGAAAAGTTATGCACAGTATTTTGTACCTTTTGGACGTTTTTTCTCAAAAAACCAGATCAGACAGACAAAAAAAGCAGATCCGCGGACGGACGTAAATCTGGGAAAAACAGTGCAATAATTACTTCTTGATGTCTCTAACTTTGTTTCTTGCTGTTTTGTATCTTAGGGTGAGGGTTAGGGTCAGGGTTAGGGTTAATTGTATGTTAAATTCTATGTTATTGAATGGTGCGTAAGATGCGCATGCAAAAGGATATCTTGTCTCGAGGCAAGACGTAAAAATATGACGAAATACGGCGAAAAAAACGTCAAAAACGTACGCAATTACGGTGCATAACTTTTCGTAAAATTTCATACGAACTCATAATGAGAATACACTGACTAATTAGATGAAGAGGCATTTGGCTAGGTTTAGGCAGGCAATGCTGCTTTCCGGGTTTAATCTCCCCGTGACGGCCGCCATCTAGTGCTGGTCGCATGATAAGTTGTAATCATCATGTGACCCCACCGCCCACATATTTTAGTCAGGTCACCGCAGCCTGGGTAGGCTGTGCAGAACCCCAGCCTCGGAACAGACATAACCTGATACTGGGGTCCGGATCACTCAGCTCCGGTCCAGGGGCCTGGTCATTCAGCCAGATTTCTCCATTACCAGCGGGACCACAGGGAGGTATTACCAGTAACCATGCTCCAATGACGACATTGGCAAGGGGGCTTAGCCCTCACCAGCAAAATGTCAGAGAATTCCTCTCAGGACGAACCTAGTGACTCCTTCTTCTCCCATATCGCGAGGGAAGGTACCGAACAGGAGTTCTATGGTAGCGCCCCTTAAGAGAGTCATAGTTACTCCCGCTGTTTACTCGTGCTTCATTGAATTTCTTCACTTTGACATTCAGAGCACTGGGCAGAAATCACATTGCGTCAAAACCTGCCGCGGGCCCTCGCGAGGCTTTGTTTTAATTAAACAGTCCGATTCCCCTGGTTTGCACCAGTTCTAAGTCAGCTGCTAGGCGCCAGCTGAGGCAACCCTCCCAGGGCCCCGCGCGAACGAGGTCCCGGATGAGCACCGTAGCAGGAGAGATCTGGGAGAAGGGCCCAATGTGTGTCCAGAGTCACCGGGAGAACCGCGACGTCACTCCCAGAGGCGCCACAGACACGAGCCACCGCGAGGTGGGCCGCGCACTGGGCTTCCTGGGGCGGAAAAGGGAGGGTGACGGGGCGACTGCTCCCCCAGCTGCTGCACGTGCCCAGCCCCCTTCACACCGACCTGGCCCTCAGAGCCAGTCTTTATCCCGAAGATACAGATCTGACTTGCCTATTTCCCTTCATACTGATAGGGTCATCACAGTGTGAAATTTTAACATCCATGCTTACATTAAAGGCGATAGCTTAAGAGCAGCCTTTAATGGAATCTTAGACACTATTGGCTTTATTCAAAATGTGAATAGTCCCACACATTCTCATCTTCATACTTTGGATCTTGTGCTGACATACGGCATAGAATGTGAAGAAATAACAGTATTTCCTCAAAACCCTGTCCTCTCTGACCACTTTCTAATAACTTTCAGGATTGCTTTAACAGAGTTCTCCTCCCCCAAAAGAAGGTTAAATTGTAGCAGATCATTATAGTGCAGTTATAAATTTTAAAGAGTTGCTGAGCAGT